GGGATTGACCGTCACATTATAACGCCCCCCACGGCTGAAAGGGCGAGCATGTTTGGTGGGACGGGGATTCGAACCTGCGACCCTCAGATTGCCGGGCCCAGGAATTGATATGAGGTGAAGTATTGATATTATTTAGTAGTATAGAAATTCCCATAGTGACGTATTTGAAATTGAAAACTAATTATATTACCATCATGCTCTACGTCAGTGTAAACAAGAACGACTGGTTGCCTACACTGTAATAAGTGGCGCGAAGTAACATCAGGCACGAGGTATGCTATATTTTTAAAGATAACATAATTTCTTTGAATTGCTATCTGTAAGTTGTTTGGCTAGTTACCGATATAGGGTAAATTCAGAACAGTTCTTTTAAATACAATCACCTGGTAAATATTTCACCGCTTTTAAGATGGAGGTCGAACAATCTCTAGTCAGGGAATGCCAGACACAGAAACTTGTGCCTTTGCGTCATTTTATATTGATTTGTAACAAACAAAGAACAGAAAAGCCTTTTCTTTCTTTTTTCTATTTTGTTTTGTTTCATAACACAATATTTTACTTTCTCTCAGATATCAGCTTGAACTTAGCCACTAAATTCAAGTTTAAATATGCCAATTTTTTGTAGGTTCTTATTTGATTATCAATTTCTGTACAATAGAATTGCATCACTATACAATAGTGTGTTGTCTGTCAGTCAGTCACTAGACACTAAAATGACGTCACATAAGGGATGCTTTACGGTGCAATTTGTAATGTCAGTAAAGCGTGCGCGTGCCATGAATCACGAGAATAATTATGCACTCTGTAGGCTACAACACAGCATGACAAATGAACTTCAAAGGCAAGAAATAAAAATATTTGTTACTCTTAATTTAGGTTTTATTTTCTCTTGAAACAGAACACGGAAGTACATCTAGTTATTACGGGAAAATTGTACCTTCTACTTTCTCCTGGCGTCATAGCTTACAAAAACGCTCATTTAGTGTTTTAAAATAATATTAAACTTTTGTTTAATTGTTTAGATCACATGAACATATTGCACAGAACCGAAGGAGTTTAAATAAGGGAACAACGAGTACTTACAACCAAAAGCAGATAGGAATAAACATTTGTAATTTTCCTCAATGAAATAATCTTATATG